TCTTTCTTTCTTTCTTTCTTTCTTTTTTTGACACAGAAAGCAGGCTGGACTCCGGAAAATGCCGAGGACATCACGACGACATCCGACCGCCGAGTGTTCCTGATGACGCCGAACCAGCTCGGCTCGCGCGATCTCGTCTTCTCCTCGCGAGGCAGCCGTCATCACGTGATCTCCGTGTTTCAGAACATCCGAAGGTTCGCCGAACTGGAGGACCAAGGTGTGGATTCAACTTGATATTCTCATGATTGAAGTATATCCGACTTTTGTTGAAATTAAAGTTACGGCCCGGTCACATTCGTCGTACAATTTTGATGCCTTTGTTTTCTTCTTCTTCTTCCCTTTACGCGCTAACCTCACTAGTTTGAGGGCTCCAGCACGGTGGGGGTAGGGGTTTTTGATAGGGGTGGTCGCAAATGTATAATATAAATGTATATGTAAATGTATATATATGTTGTGGTATATATATGTTGTGGTCTGCAGCTCCTCAATGGGCAGGGGCGCCACTCCCTGTCCGCCACCGAAAGCAGTGACGGCGAGAACTGATGTTCAGAACTACATACTGTTTATAGCATTTTTAAAAGTCTCTAGTGTTTTAGCTCTAACAATGTTTTCCGACAGTTTGTTCCACTCCTTTACTGTTCTGGGGAAAAAGGAGTTTGTAACAGTGGGTGGGCCGACGGGTCTAGACATTTTCAGCCGAGTGGTTAGAGCGTCTGACTGTGGCCCGGGGGCCGTGGTTATTTATCTGTTTTTACTCGCTCCTCCTGTTTCTTGCACCTCAGAATTTTCAAGTAGCCAGCCGCGGACAAAGATGTCAGCTAGCCCTTTCCTAACCACGATAGCTAAATATGAATTTTGTAAGGATACAGTACATGCACAGCTATTCCAAGAATACTAGTACCCTAAGTTTGCGATCGTGCGACATATATGACCGGGCCCCTAAGGATGTTGATCCTAAAAATATCAGTCTGAAATTACCCCATTGTGCACCGTTTGAACTTTTATTCCATTCGTTTTCATACAGGAACCGGAACGGCGATTGAATCGCAGCTGTTTCAGCTGGATTTCCCGGAAATGCGCCGTGCACATGAGGACTCCGAGTCAACGAAGGTCACATTTCTGGAGATCGTGCCGTTCCCGTTCAAACCGCTAGGGGGTGCTGATGAACAGTCGGATCAGGACGGAGATGAGACAGAAAAGCTTTCCTGTTGAATATCCCGTCGCTCTCTTTGTATTAGCCTTGATTGAGATTTTGTAACAAAAATACTGTACGTGTGACGTGTCTGTATTCAACACGGGTATATTGATTTCGAAAACGAAGCCAAGCCGAGGGGGGAGAGAGAGAGGAGGGAGAGAGAGACTCAGAGAGAGAGAAAGACTCAGAGAGAGAGAGAGAAGTACATATTTTCTACCTTAAACCACTGACGTACTCATCCAGCCTTCAGTTGTATGCCGTAGTATGTACGGTAGAAATTGTGACAAGAAGACTCTATTAACACGTTTTCTAGATGATTCTAGATGAGTCTGCGGTATTACAAATTCGTAAAACGTTGTATTGTAATAAATTCTAGCGAAGTGAGCCATCATAGGTGTGTCTGGACTTTAGACTGTAGCGCATCACTCTGAAACCTTTGCACACTAGCTTCAGGATGCCTCACTGCTGTTTAATAAACTTTTACCTGGCATAGTACATAGACGCGTTGCAGCTTACTTACTACAAATTTCAGCACAGAAGTTTTGAAGTTCTGTTACCTTGCACCAGAAGATTAAGACTAGCCAGGTATCTTACGTGATTGGGGGTTTTGGGGTGTTCGTGCAGGTTGTGCCTTCGGGGGCTCTAATAGCTTCCCCCGCCCAGTGAAACAGGCCGTCCCGGTAGGAGAGTTACGCTAATGAGAGACAGTGTGCTTGGGGATTTGGTTTCCCCCCAACACGATAGTCTGTTCGTAGAGGGCTAATCAATCTCTCGTGAAATACACACAGGGAAACCTATGTGAGGCGGGCGGGACAGAGCTCTTTCGGCCCCGACTACGATCAGACTGGATACCAGGCTAGACTAAGACAGAACGTTGTCTACTGCTGATGGTGTTTTCTTGACAACACCTTAGCGTTGACGTCGAGGCAGTTTTCAATCTTATTTCACTTCACCTGACAAAAGCCTGTGCTACACACGTACCCGTAACAGGTGATGACGTCAGGAGTGCATCAAAAGGCGTGAGGCGTGAAGGAGGCAGTTTACATCAGGGCCCACCAACCCTCTCTGAACCGTGATGGTGGGAGATACCGTCTTCCCGCCACTTTTGATGCACTCCTGACGTCATCACGTTTCCGACTTCCGGAAAGTCAGCGACTGCATCACAAATCTGACGAAGGTTGACGGGATCAGCCGAAAATTTATGGTGAGTTCCCTTTTTGTGTTGGAACAAGTCAAACTCCTTAACTATAAAAACAACCTCCTATTTTTATGATGCTTATTTTTCTGACACTTGTATATCATAACCCACAAATATTATACGGCGAGGCGCAGAATACAGTAATAACCGGAGAGATTAAAGTTATTTTTAAGGAACATTTATGAACGTTTTACACCAGGAAGCTATAGAGGTGAAGTAGTGTGCAGTGGGTACTAAATAGTTTTAGTAAGAAAATAACTGGAATGTTTATTATATTGTATGTAACAGTTTTGCTCCTGTAGGTGATGGTGACTGGTTAGCGGTGACAACAATTCTGTATTATATCACAGATTGTACCCAGAAGACTGAGCTATGACTAGTATAATACTTTGACATAGCAAATATAGATTTGTATAAACATATATACATGTCTGAATGTTAATTTGATGAACTTTATAAACACTCTTAAAATAAATGGTGTGTTAGATATGCCTATAGACCACAAGGGAAGTGGCCTACCACCTTTGGAGTTTTCTATCAGTTACTAGACTTAGTCTGTATGTTTTGACCACGTTACTATTGTAGCGGAATTAATGTATGAACGCTGCACCATACCATGTTTATGTTTGGATACCTTTGAAAAGCCGTAGGGGCATTTTTCATGTTGTGTAAGCTGTCAATCTTGAGTAAATAAACAGAGTTGGTGAAGGTTTTTGAAACCTTGTCGTGTCTGTATTTTTCTATGGATATATGGTGAATATACTATGTACCAGACTTAAAGCGTTTCTTGGTGCGTAAGCACAAATAGCCCTGTAATTTATCCAGAGGTTGCCGGAAATTGAAGCCTTTCTTATACAGTATATTTGGTCAGACGTGTGATAAAAAATGCAACAAGATTGAAGAAAATACCGATTGCTGTTGAGATGATTCTCAGTTCGTTTTAGTTTGAAGCACCACCTGTATAGCATTTCTTATTCTTTATCAGCCTATGGGTTTTTCTCATGCTTTGTTCGCAGTCAATTTGAAACTAATAAACGTTTTTAAAGCAAAAAGTGACCTAGATATTCCTGGCCAAAAGGTGCTACAGGTGTGTGTCTTTCACGCACCAGGCATAAGAAAGCAAGATCAGAACATAGCGCACCAGCGCCCCCTAGCCATATGACACATCACTGCATTTTTCTAAACTGACGAGATCTTTTCCGAAGTGTTCTCATAGCAAGTCGCTAGGTGTCGCCGCTGCCTTTCGTTTGATATGAGAGCACTTCAGAAAAGATCTCGGTCTCATCAATATGGTAAAAAAGCAACCATCAAAACAACCATAGACAATCCCTACAGGAAGCATAACCTTCTTGGCGAAGGTTAAAAACATGCACGAGAGTTATGGGCTATGAGTTTTGAGTTATAGAATTGTAAAAATAACAACGGGTTTCATTCATTTACAAGGTCATATCACAAAGGAAGGTTGACACGTATTGTGTTTTGGAAACTCTACCTGTGTGTGGAAAGGTCATTGTCTCACCTGAATAATGGATGAGAAGGGTATTCCTTAGCAACGTTCCAAAACACAGACAGAGTCTAGAAATGACAAGACTTCGGGCAAATTTTAATTTCATCTCGCTTCTTTGACTAGCGCCATTCTATCTTTAGTCCTGGTATATAAAGAGATTGAGAGTCTTGGTTCCTCATTTCTGTGACGAGGTTTTGCCTAAGCTTAAGAAAAAAGCAGGTGTACGGCATCGGTTTGTGTCATGGGGATTTGTTTCTCCAGAGAGCAAGTTGCGGTATCGCCGGATGCGGTATCACCGGTAGGTGCTGCTTTACTTTTATAACTTGGCCACTGAATTATTTGATTGTTTGTGTTTAACTTTGTGTGTTCGTATGTATGTATGTATGTATGTATGTATGTATGTATGTATATATATATATACATATATATATATATATATATTTTTTTTTTCAGACCGTGAAAATTAAAATCAATGGTGTTGGAGAACCCAAGAAGATAAAGAACAAGTACGGAGTGTACGACGGCACCCTTATTCAGATTAAGAAGAGAAATAAAGAATTCGGAAAAAAAGTGTTCCGTACTAAGCACAGTAGGAACGGAGACAACGGTAAGAGGAGGATCTGAATCTTCACAGCATCATGTTTAAGCTTTTTGGTTGGCTTTTATAATGTACTTTTTGTCTAATGACATATGGCTCTATTCATACCGGTCATACCTTAAATCGGTTCAGCAGTTCTACGCCTCACAAGTTTTGACTTCTGTTGTAAGAAATGCGGTCCTTTATAAAGTGCACATTTTGTACTGCAATATGTTTGTCTTGCTAATGATTTTCCAAACCTAATTTGAAAATGAATGTAGAAATGCCGAGAGCAGAGCATGATCAGTGGTAGATCAGCACCAAACCGTTATCCTACATGTGTTGGTATTTTCATATGATTATAGTTAGCAAAAGCAGACACAGGCAAAGGTTTGCCTACCTGCCTATGTGCACAGGCCAGGTACTGGCCCCTTGTTCCCCTCTGTCAGGTACTTCCAGCCAGCTCTATCAAGGGCCACACTCTGCTACATTTAGGGTAATCCCTGTGTCACTCTGGATCTGGTCTTTCCACCTCTTGGGTGGTCTTCTCAAGGGTGTAGGGTTTTTTAACTCCTGGTGGTATGCCTTATAAACTGAGGTGTTTGCCGGTCTTCGCATCACATGTCCAAACCATCTGAGCCTTCTAGTGCAGATCCTGTCAGTGATGGTTTGTTCTGCCCCGAGACTTGACCGGATTTCTGCATTTGGAATGCGGTCCCGCAGGGTGATGCAAAGTATCGCTCTTAAGCATCTCATTTCAAAGGATAGCAGGAGAAGTTCGTCCGATTTTTTCAGGGTCCATGTTTCACCTGCATATGTAGCAATTAGCAGAATAAGTGCTTAGAACAGCCGTACTTTGAGCTCGAGGTTTTTGCTAATATCCCTTCGGTTCCAAACTGTTTTTCTGAACCTAAAGGTAAAAGTTTGCACTGATGACATTTAGAAGCTAGTTAATGATGATCGTAAACATCAAAATTAGCTTACATCAATTTGGACTCACAATCAATCAATTTCCCACGTGCATTTCATTGTTCCTTTCAGAGACAGTGCTCAAGTATTCCTACAAGAGTACACCACCGGAAAACCGCGGCACCTATGTTGTACTGCAGTTCAAAGAGTCTGGAATGTACTTTGCGTCCAGGAAAAATAAACCAGGCAAGCTTATTCTGCAGGTGAGCTACTATATTAGATTAACATAAAGCAGGTGATATACTCGTCAATAGGCTGTTCAGTAGTTCTTAACGCTTGCTTTATGTGCTTTAAGATGTGATTTTATGCTTATTAAGTAACATGGGTCGTTGGTTACTGACAGGACAAGAAGGCCTTTGGATCCGAACCTGATCCAAAAGACATCACATCACCTACCGACCGACGCGTGTTCCTGATGAAACGACATTCTTCGGACGTCCTGTTTGAGTCTATGTACGCCACAAAAAAGCTCGGTTCCTCTCAAGTCATCACCTTGTTTCGGGACATAGGAACCGCAGCCGGACTCAAGGACAAAGTTACAAGTACCTCTGATGAGTCCGAAGGTCTCACTTGTCACTCTTACTTCATTCATAATATAGATAAAAAGTAACCACTTACATGACTTATACATTATCAAATCAATGTGTTAATTTGCTGTAATATCTTCTGTATCTTCTGGGTGGTGTGTGGTGACTGTTGACAAAATTGTAGTGTGGTGGAAACAACGCATTCAGGAATACATGTAGATTCAATTGTCCGCTGTGAAGATTTGATGTAATGGTGAGTCCAAAGTATCGTATATCTGTGAGCGTGAAAAATTGGTTTCAGGGAAGATGCACGCGCAAAACTTTGATGATAACTAACATTAAGATCTTTTAACAGATGATGGACGATCGGCGG